CCTTCAGAAGTGCTGAAAATGTGCAAATTTCTGAGAAGAAACCCACTATTTACTTTGCATTTCATGCGGTGCGTGATTCACCTTTGGTTTAAAATCATAAACAGCCCTATCCAAGTACACTGTGCCTTTGAACAGTCACTAGGAGAGTCTGCAGAGTTAGTGCAAATATGCTAAATATTGTTCACAGTCTTTTTCGATGACTTTTTGGAATTAATGTCAGGTCCGTTATGAATTATCCAAGAAAAAAATTTTCATTGCCTAATTATATATCGTTTTTGACTCCCGAACATAATTTGCTCTCAGAGATCCTGTCTCTAAATGACTTTTCCTCATTCACAAAACAAAACCACCACCGCCACAAAAAGGGTAAACTTCAAAGGACCAGAAAGACATTGTTAACGATATTAAAGTGAATGTGCCACACATAGGCCATTGCTACTTTGGACTAATGAATGTGACCACCAGAGAAAAGTCTTACAAATTTGGATCATTCATCTTCCCATAAGAAAGAGCTTTATTAGATAAATGAGACTGAATATAACAGTGTGAAATAATGCTTAGCAAAATATTCCTAACCATATATACAGTTGTTATACCTGTTCAGAATTTGCAGGTACTTAGTTTTGTAGAAATGGCGTAGTTAAAGAACTTGACGTCTCTTTCTTTCCAGGGAAAGTTAATTCCCCACTTACATATTTGCCTTTGAAATAAAAATATTTCCCAAGTTATTTTTTTCACAGTGGTAAACTTTAACTTTGAAATATCCCTTATTGCTACAGAAAAAGATTATTTTGATTCAAGTCAAAGAGGGTTATTTAAAATATATATATTTATTATATATATTTAATGTGTCTCCAGTAGAAATACTTGGTGAATTTATTACATGCCAAAGCTCTACCCACTCTTCTCATAACTGAAATCACTTTTGATAATTAGGAAATAAATACCCACCTATATTTAATTTTATAGGTACAGATCACCATTAAGATATTTATTCTGTAGTAAAAACTTGTATAGACTTTTAATATTATTGATATTTTCCTCTTTAATTGGGAAGGGATTGCCAGCTTTCTTTCAGATTTATTAGACTAGAACTTACTGGTATCCATGTGACTCATTGCTTTATATATTAGACAAGTTTGCGTGTTTCTTATTATCTGCAAAGTTAGAGTCTGTGGATGGTTAAAGTTAAGAATCCATCCTTGTTGCACACGAGAGGCAGTGCTTCCATTTTCTGGTGAAGTCTTGACTATTCCTCGTGCTCAATAATTATAGACGGTTAATGAGAATTAACAGCACACCCATGGCATCTAGGAACCCCCACTGCCCACCCCACCTCCCTCCACTCAGCCCTGTCTGCTTCACCCACCTGCACATAAACAAACCAAGTGTGGTCCAGACAAGCCCAGAGGTTTCCGTGTTGAAGCCAATAAATGGCCTAGCACCTCAGCCCCCTCTTTTTGCTCTTTGCTTCTGTACTTAAACATGTTGGAGGTTTTCAGTATCGCCAGAACGTTGACTGTTAAGAGGCGGAAAACACGCAATTCGTAGCAGATGGGTACGGCCTTTTCTGGCAGTGCCGCCGAAATGGGATCCATCAGCGGCACTGCATGCTCCATTTGTCCAGCAGAAATCCACCTGGGGAAGCCCTGTGGCACTGTGCCTGTTAGGAAAACACCTAAACACGTTTCTTTAAATAAAAACTCGCCATTGCCGTTAATCTAGAAGAGAACGGCTTCTCCATTAACCCTCTCCCGCTTCCGTTCCTCCTGTCTTTTCTGCTTTTTTTTTGAGCCAGTGTCTCTTATTCTCTTTGCTGGTAAAAGATGCAGCACAGAGAAGCCGTCTAGAGCCCTGGTCCGTAATGTTGAAACTCTGAAACTTTTCTTCCTGCTTCTTGATCTGTTTGTCTTTCTGCCGACCTGATTTGGCAATGATCTGATTCTTCGCTGTTCATTCACCGTTTTCTCCAGGCTGCCTTGTCTTTGAATTTCTTGACCTCTTCCTCCTCCTTAACTGTCGAGTGTCTTAGCCTGGGAGTGGGTGTTACCAGCCCGGGCACCTGCTCAACCAGCCTGTGCCCAGACAGAGGGAGGTGTCGGGGAGGGTGATGTGGAAATCCGGGAGGTCCCGTGGCAGCCACCGGTTAATCAGTTTCTTTCTCTGATTCCTGCAACTTTTTCCAGGTGTAAAGTGGATATGGCAGCACTCCCACTCAAGCAAGCCAACTGCTTGGAGCTGCCGCTGGAGAGCTGCCCGGGGACTCTCCTGATGTTGATCACCCTTACGCCCTGTTCGGGGGTCTCGGTCTCAGACCTGTGTGTGTGCCCCTTGGCAGACCCCAGCGAGAGGAAGCAGATTGCCCAGCGATTTGTGAGTGCTTCACCTTTCTCTGCCCCCCTTGCCACCCCCACTCCGACCCCCACTTTTCAGATGAAGCAAAGTCTATGCATTGAAAAACTGCGGAAAAAAAAAATCTTTGTCCAAAGTTTAATAGTATGTCTCATAAAACAAGACATCAGACGTAGAGGTTAATGCATTAGCGAGAAGGTGAAAACGGATTCGAGTTGGCCTCCCCATTTTAACAGCCAAAAAAGTGATGTTTTTATTTTTATTTACCTTTTACTTTTTTTGAGCGTTCAGGATCTCTTTGGAGAAAATTAAAATCCTTAAGGGGGCAGACAGTCGTGTAGCACATCTGCATATGTAAATTGGAAATTTACCAGAATTTCACAAAAGTCACTTTCTTTTCAAACCAAGTATGACTATTTGCAGTGTTGTAGATACTTTTGCTAGAATCTGTTAAAATCAAGTGAGAAGGCGGAGGCAAAGCCAAGTCAAGACAGGCATGAAAGACCTGTTCTGTGCTACCCTGGAGAAAAGCAGTTTGTGATTTTTGCCTAAGTAGCTGCAATGTGCTTAAAAGTCCACTCAGCATTTTTAAGTCAAACGGCTTTGTCCTCGTCATTGTTTTTTGTACTCTGGCTTTCTAGGTGTCTTTATTTGCATTCTGCTTTTATTCCGTCTTCTTTGTAAATCAATACGTTTATTTTATTGCCACACACAGGAAAGGCATGTTTTAGGACAGTGGCATGAAAATGAAGCAAAGATGAATCCCTATTTAATGGGAATATTATTCTCAGCATAAACTTTAATGCCTCCAGAATCCTCCACTGATGCAGGTGTATTGATTAATTGAATAATCCTTTATCTTCCAGAGTACAAAGCTTAGCCACGCATCTTATTGTCAACACAGATTCCGCATGCAAGGTTGACGTACTTTAAAGAAGTTTTGACAAAATCCTTTATCTTTTTTTTAACTTAAAAAAATGTTTTATGAAGTGTAATCTGTTTATCATGTGTTAATTTCTGGTGTACAGCACAGTAATTCAGTTTTATATATGTATATAGTTTTCATTATAGGCCATTATAAGGTATTGAATATAGTTCACTGTGCTATACAGTAGGACCTGGCTGTTTATCTATTTTGTATATAGTAGTTAGTATCTGCAGATTCCAGACTCCCAGTTTATCCCTCAGATCCACTTCTAAAATTCTCTTTGATGATTTTATTTAAGCAAATGAAAATAAAACGCTTCCCCAAACTTTCCCATGGATAAATTGCAGAATCTGCCAAATTCATGAGGAGGGTCGTGTATTTATAAGGTGACATTAGGTAAGATCATGATGACAGCTTTGAATGATGCCTCAGGATCGGAGGAGTACAAATTGAAACGAGGTTTGAAAAGGCTATAATCAAAATAGAACTATCAAGTGTTTTATTTTTATTTTTTTCCGGCTAGCTAGCTGGCTGGCATGTCAGAGGGAAAGACTGCCTTACAAGGCACAAGTTCTAGACCCTGGATTTGTTTTTTAGGTTGTAGGAACAGAGAATCTTCAAAGGCATTTCACCTCTAAATTAGGAAAGTATTTTATTTCAGATGTTTTCACCTTAGCTTAAACACTAGGTTTTTTTTGTTTTGTTTTGTTTTAGATTGAAAATACTATTTGAAGAAAGAGCTTTCCGAAGTTCTTAGGAGTGGTGCATATTACATTAGGAAAGCCTTAACGATTCGTAAGCTTTTGTTATTCCGTCCTGAAGTGCCTAAGTAGCAGGAATTTCACTATCCTTCCGTAAATCCCCGGGATCTGCTTATCACAGGTTCTTAGTTATCTAAGAATGACGGAAATGCTATATCCAGACATTTGAAGCAGAGTCTTTCTTAGCAGATGTGTTTTGGAGGCCTGCGAACAGCATTTGTCTGCTCATCTCTTTCATGCACGATTGCTAAACGATGCCATGTACACAGAATAGTGCTATACGTGCTTAAGAATTATCAGTGGATATATTAAAGCTTTGGCTCATACAAACCAAAAATGAAAGTACATGTGATGACAGAGTGATGCTCGATGCTCAATCTCTTAATTTAATGAGCTGGCTAAAACGTGGACTGGAAAATTCGTTCTTTATCCATCCCTCCTCTCTTTCCAGCGGTAGTAAGTGTCTACAAAGGGTCCAAGTGTAGTCCTCTGGTATCCATAGAGTTTGCTTTAACTAGGTTAGAATAATGTTGCCTTTTCGGGTGATTTAATACGTTTCATTAAGGAGAAAGAAGTGGTAGAAAAGAGACTGAGCGAGCTCTACACCCATTTTCCCGGTAGGATGTCTGTGCTATCACCAGGGGGCGATGTTAAAAGTCGATTGCCTTTGCTTTGTAATTCGTTTATTTTGAAACTGTAATTAATTCTCAGTCACTTTGAATCTGTTTGCTGCAAGTGCTTAAGTTTCCTGTTAACTTTGACAGTTCTCTTAGCATTGCATGGGAAAGGTGACATTAAATCTAGAATGTACTTCCTGTAGGACTTTGTGGCATTAAACAGTGTATCAGAAAGCTGGGTTCATTCATGATCTATCTGCTTTTCTCCCCCGCAGTGCTTACAGAACTCCCTCAAAGATCTGAGAGACGTCGGCATTTTACAAGTGAAGGTTTTAAAGGCGGTAGATCTCTTGGCAGCAGATTTCTCAGGTATAAATCATTTTCTGTTTTTATTCTTTTTTTTTTAACTTTTCTTTACTTCCTGGTTTGAAATGATCTTAGGGCAAAGCAGAATGTTTTACTAAGTAGAAGCATGTCTCCAGCAATCATAGTCTTTCAGACAGAGGAATAGAAGGAAAGACGGTGCAGACAGTAAGTTCTTCATATTTTTCACAAAAATTTTTTTCCAAATAATTTTGCTATGATTAGATGATGTGCTAATCCATTTGGCTTCCAAAGAAATTTGTGGATTATTTGTGTCATTTCTTCTTTATCTGTTAAATCAGCTGTCTGAAGCAGCTTTTCTATAGAACCTCAAAAGATGGATTTGATGCCTCGCCTTCCCTCCCCTGCCGTGCTGTGTGCAGGCAGAGTTTCCTCCTTCCCCATGTCCCGTGCAGGGGTCCCAGATCTGTCTGCCACGTCTCTGTAGCATTAACCAAAGTCTTGGGCGTGGAACCACTTTGCAGGTGACCTTGCCTCATGCAGAATTTCTCTTGGTGCTTCACTACCTTGAATTTAGAGGCAGAGGCTAGAGCAGGTACGCGCTGGGCTGAATTATGCTCGACTGTGAGGACAGTAATCCAGACATTTCAGGGTCTGGTCAGAGGGCGACGTGCCACCCACGCTCTCATCGCCACCTTGCACCCTCGGGCGGACAATTTCAACACTTGTATGACAGGTGCGATTTACCAGCTGAAGAATATAAGGAAGACTCCGCAACACGGATTTGTCCATCTGCTGATGTGGAAGTGCATCTTTGTTGGTGCCGCCATCCCGTAATTTTCCAGTGTGGTCTGCTCCCTCCCTTCCTTGCACACAGAAACAGTCACTGTATTTGTGTAACCTCTGAACTTCTGAGACTGAGTTTGAGGAAACTCAGACTCTGGAACAGAGAGTTTTAATTAGAAGCACTTTATATTACAAAAATGATGGGAAATATAAGCATAGTTTTAACAAAAAGGAGTTCTCACCCTCCCTCAAAAAATGGACCAGTAGAAATCATTACTCTTATTATGAAGCCCCCCCAGATAAGGTGATCTCATTTTTAAGGAAATGCCCAGTGTGAATATCCAAAATATGAGCTTTTTTGCCAATATGAATATATAAATTCTCAAGGATGTAGATGAAATACTTCAGTGATGACTTCTAATATTGTAGAATTTACTTGCATGTTTATAAAGTCTTTTACTGATTTAGCGATTTTCCTTTCTTTGAAAACTTAGTTTCCGAAAACATTTTTAATTCAGATGTTTCGCACATGCCTTTGATGTTAGTAATTTTGTCATCAATAAAGCACATTTCGTGCTATCTACCAGTTCTCCAGAGCAGATTATGTCTTACTTCCAGCTCAGTGTTATAGACACAGCACTTTTTGAATCCAGGATTGTCGATGTCTCAGCAAGTGCCATCTCAAGCCCCAAGAACTCATTTGTACCTTCAAGCAGTATTATCAAAAATTCTTTTTGTAGCTGTATCTTTTGTGATCACCAGGAACTAATTACAGTGCATTAAAAGTTTTTTTAAGGCACGTGTACAGCTATATCCATATGTGGAAATACTTTTTTTTAAACCCTTTTTTTTTTTAACCCATCCTATCAGGTGACTTCCATGAAGCACCTCCAAAACCAGTCTTTATAAGGGTAGTTTGAAGCCAATCTGTTTTCTCCAAAGAGTGCTCTGGCTATTAAAATAAAATGAATAGGAGAGGAACCTAAAAAACGGGAGTCTTTTGTAAAGACCAGGCAAAACCTTCTCTCCTAATTTTGACCAATTAGATTAATTTGGCAGGAAAATGTCATTTTTTTCCATTTTCCTTCTATTGAAGATATTTCATAGATAGTTTTAGAGTGGATAATGGTGAGTACCAAAGGATTCCAGGAACAAAAAGCAGCGGTTAGAAATCAAATAATGCTGTGCGATTTGGCTAAATGCCCTGATGTTTTTCTGTCGCTGTCTTATTTGTGAGAAAATTATCACTGTTCTGAATTGAAGCAAAGATCCTTGTCATTAGCTCCACATGTCTTTAGACCACACTGATCTTTATTTTTAGAATCAAATTTCACAGTCTGTGTTCTTTATAGGTTGTCAGGTTCCTACAGTCTATTCCAAACCAAGGTACAGCTTTAGGGCAACAAAGTGGCCCTAATCCAGGGAGTTGTAAAGTAACTTCTCTATGTGAAAAAAGAAATGGATGCCGGTTGCCATGAAGTAGCAATCGAAATGTAATTAATACCTGCCAGATGTTGGCGATCATATCAGGTAGTGGCAACTCACATATTATTGCCTTATTGTTACCAATTCACTTGATACAGAGTGAAAAAAATGCCAGCTTCCCTGGCTCATGGATCAGAAGAGGTGCCCATCATTACCAGTGCTAGGAGTATAAGGAATTACATGCCTTTTCCAGTCAGCCTGACTTTATAAATGAGTGTTTCATTGCAGTTGCTCAGGGAGCAGAGTTATTCACCCCTGAAAATAAAAAAAAGAAATGCATTTACCCTGCGTAACCAGGGGTGATCTCAGAGACCGATGGTCGTTGTAGACAGAGTGCAAAAGGGAACTTTCCAACCTTCTTACTTTTTTTTTTCATTAGTGTTATGTTGTTGTTGATGTTTCAATTGTTTCTTAAAAACAATATCAAACGACCGTAGTAGCTGATGCTTCGAGTTTGTCTCTCCTGAGATTCAGGGACTCTGATCAGGCAGAAGTCCATGGGGGCCGGTCTTGGCCGTGGTCCGTATAGAGGTGGAGGTTGCAGTTCGCAGAGTTCAGGAACCTCTTGTCCTAGAGGAGGAATGAATGCTCACGGTGGCCCTGCTGTCAGTTGTTTGCCGATTTTGAAGTTATTTGTGTCTTTACAAGTAACAATTAGAAAACGAAAATTCCAGTCATCGTGCCCCTCTGATCAAAGTAGGAGGATGTTCCTCATAATTGGTTGTTGATATTATGATTATATGGTCATAAAAATAAGCTTTGGAGAAATTGAATCCTCATTGCTTTGCTAGTATTTTAGAACATTGGAGTGACATATATATGATATATAACAATATATATACACTAAGGTGAATTCCTTTTCTATTAAAATTTAAAAATTTTTCTATTAAAAAATCAGTGTAGCTTCTCAAATGTATTATATTAATGACCTAAATCTACTACCAATATTAAGATATTTATAGAAGATAAGGGTTTCAGTGTTCTAATGTGTAAAAAAGATATTTATTGTTTTCCAGATGGATTCATTCTTTCATAAATATGCTATTTTATTATGTGATTGGACCTATTCAGTATTAATAGGTTTAAATTTATATACAGCTTAGCAGTTTTTGTGTGTTTGACACTTGTTTGTGTATAAGTGAGAAGATGGTTTATTTTAAAGAATCAGAGGTAATGTAACTTCTCTTGCAGCCCACCCCCTCTGAAATTGGTGAAGGATATTTTAACATTCTCTACAACCGAGATGAGATGCGGAGAACCACACAGTTATTCTAATAGAAGAGCCTGTCAGATAGCTTTTATTAAAGCGTTTGTCTCACAAGCACCTTGTGCCCAACGTAACCTAAAATTTTTAAGTAATAGGTTACCCAGTCTGATGGCATTACTTCTGGAGTAAACGGGGCCATAGCCTTGACTCACAGCCCAGATGATAAATTATACTTTGAGGCTCAAGGTGAGCACAGATGTTTCTAATGTTTAATGAGACCAACATACTTCACTGAGCTCCCGCTCACAGTTTGAAGTTCTGTGTTCTCCGGGGGTGCTTTTTTTGTTTTGTTTTTAATATTGTGACTTTGGGGCACTTTTTGCCATGCAAAACCCACCCATAAAACACCACAATTTTCCAAATACACATGGGTTTTCTTGACTTCTTGGCAGTAAGGTTGTCACTTGGACCCTTTCTCTGTTTCCAATGTTCATAAGACAACTGTCAAATTAACAGAATCTCAGAATCAGAGCATCTTTATCAGAAGAATGGAAAAGACAATATGTTTTTAAACAAAATACATGGGTTATACTGAAGGAGTCTTATAAGTTAGCATGTGAGGGGCCGTAACAGTGCCTGATTCAGGAGAGCAAACATAACAATGACTTCAAGAGCCCCATGCTTCTTTTCAGGGAGCCCAGGATGGCTTCCTAACTGCTTTTTAAGTTTGTCTCAACTTAAGAAAAGTCAGCTTGGTCAACTTGTGGTCAGTCTAGTGATCCTCAAGAAATTCATTGAGCATCTACTGTGGATCAGGAAAGCCGTCCTGTAGGGAACGTAGGAACACTTGGTCCTTCGTCTACGGCAGCGGCCACTAGGGGGCAGTGTGTTTCATTGATGTGAGTGCGGACCTTGCTCAAAATCCGGTGGCATTTCCAGTTTAGCGGTTCCTTCTCAGTGCCATTAGGAGGAGCTCTTCGTCTGTTGCACACACAGGGTTGATCTCCCATGACTGTGGTCAAGTTCTCCACTCATTCATTAAATACATGATCCCTTTCCAAGAGACTGCAGCTCATCCCTTGGATAAATCAACGTTCAGTTCAATAATTTATTCATTGAAGATGAAAATTAGCCTCCAGTTTTTGCCCTTTGTTTTATGGTAGCTGCCTTTCATTTTAATTCCTACATATTATGACATAGAGGATGTATAGAAACAGAGACCCACGTAAATCATGATTCTTTCGCATACAGGCCTTGGGTCCACTTAAGCCTCCAGTCCCTCAGGGGTGTTTTGAGAGTTAAAACCTAAACGAACAGACCTGACACACAGTACATGCTCAATAAATGCTATTCCCATTCTTCATTAAATTCCTTTTTCTAAAGTACAGTTGGCGTGGGGACCTTCACAGGTTTTGTTTTCTTGACATTTGGTTCATAATTTCTCTAATTTTAAGTGATGTTGGAAATAACAGCATTGCTCATCACTTTTAGCTTCTCGGCCGCTATTAGAACTCTACAGTTACCACCCTATGGTGTTTTTTTCTTTTTGTTTCTGTTTCTACTGCCT